ACTGATTGTATCTTGAGCCTCTTATATATGTTGTGTTAGACAATGATCTTGAAAGGCTTCAAATATCTGTAAGCAGATGCAAATAAAAACAGGCTGGAAAGTGTTTATGGTAGATTCAAACATGGGGCTGTTCAAATACACCAACAGAATGTCACAATAACTTAAAACATAAACATGAAAAAACTTTAGTATTTCCAGTAAAACTTGTTTTGTAGGATTTCATATGAAAAGTTTGTTTAAAATGGCATTAAATAAAAACCAGAAAGTCAGTTATTTGCAAAGCAAAGCTGTGAACTAGAATAAAAATATTCCTTTCCCTCTTAATGTATCTCAATTTTTATTGACATAATTATTTTTTTTAAAAAAAATAATAGTATGTATTAGAATTTACTTCCAATATCTGGGCCTACCAATTGACCAGAATTAGCTTAACTGAATACCCTGCTAGCATCTGAGAGGTTGATTTCAAATCTGTCTCAAGTTCTTGGTATCTAAACAGAAATATAAAGCAATACCTGTACAAGTTGTGAAATAATTGCTTTCTACATTTAACTTTTTTAGTATCTTGGTTTTGTGTTGTACATGAAGCATGTAGTAGTAAGCATATGACAGTTATTTTTGTTTAAAACCAATTCATACATATCCTTTTTTATAAAATACAACAAAATTCAAGTTTAGCAAGAAAATGTTAATGTTTATGCATTATTTAGACCCAGTACTGCCAAGGAGTCTGCCCACACAGAGTCCCAACAGATGCTAAGCAGATAGAAAGACTGCCAAAAGCTGAAAGCATTGAGTAGTCTCCATCTCACATTCAGTGTCATTTAAATTCAGATATTAATCTCTGCATAGTTTATTGAAATCTATCCAACTGAGAAAAGGAAATCACATTTTAGTGATGTTTTTCTGACTCCCAAAATATTTTTTAATATATGTAAACTAATTTCCATTAACTTCTAGTTAGTAACACTACTTAAATTTAGTTCAGAGAAAATAACCAAATTTAAAAGGAATCCCAATAAAATAAATCTTTACCTTTGCTTTGTTTATACAGAATACCAGCTTATGTGCCAGAGATCTGCAGAGGCTTCAGAACTCATAGAAGTCTTAAGGATGAGTAAGATGATAAAATATGTGTACACATAAAATAAATATGAAAGCCACATGCACATCCTGCATTTTCACTTGACAGCAGCAGAGATGTGCTGGTTTTGAGTTGCTGGATATACTGATAATTTAAAGTCTTTATCAAAAACTTAAAAACTGTTTGCTCTGTAAAACTATCATAAGAGTAAAGGTATCCAGAAATATTAGAACTTTGCCCCATAAATAATATCTCATTTTTCTACTTAATGAACTGTAGAAAACGTTGAAGATCTAAGAAGGCTTCATGAAAATACTGTTTTGTAAATCACTCTAACCTGGGATGCAGAAGTCTTAATGAAAAATTAATCTTTTATACATGTTTAAGGCAACTGTTATAAAGTGAGGGTTAAAACTCAGCACAGATTTATTTTTTTATTTATTTTATTTTACACTCTCACTTTAGATAGGAAGGTTCCCCCTTTGTATCTTGCACTGTTAAAAAATATGCCTCTCACCCTCAGGAGCAAGTTACTGTCATTCAAACAAGGCTTTACTGAGGAAAAGTGCCTATTTCACAGCATCACAGAGATGCCGTGTCCCATCAGGTCACATGGAAATGTTTTTGTCTAGTTTGATTAAATGTACCCTTAATCAACACTTCACTATTTAGAGTTTCTTAATTTCTCCATGCTTTCCCATAGGTCTCAGGGGCCTGTAATTCCTGAAAGCTTGTCAGTAAAGACCAAGGCAAAGTAGGCATTGAGCTGAGCACCTCGGCCTTCTCCATGCATGTTGTCACCAGCTCCCCTGCCTAGTTCAGTACGATGTCCATGTTTTTTTCCCCAGTCTGTGTTTTGCTGCTGATACATCTGTAGAAAGCTTTTCTGTTGCCTTTCACTTTCCTCACTAGATTCAAATTCAGGTAGTCATTGGCTTTCCAACCCTTTCTAATTCTGCGTTGTTTCTGAGAATTTAAAAAAGATATTGAAGGTTTTCCTCTTAAGCTAGTGAGTTATGGTTATTGAAGACTGAAATACAGTTATCTGTAGTTGAAACAGAAGAATGACCATTTCTAAGGATCAGCTTCCTCTTATCTATGAAGGCAATTTTTAGCAGCTTCAGTTTAGTACTGTGAGAAAAATATTAGTATTTATGAATCCTTAGAGTTCCTATATCAGATATAGGACAGAGAATGGCCAAGAAGAAAAGTCTGGATTTTTTTCAGGTGGTTCTGGCAAAATGAAAAAGACAAAATGTAAATGCAAGTCCCCACCTTCCTAAATCTCTGTATTATAGTTGCTTGGTGACATCACCCTTTAGCAAGTATAGTTAGATACGTACAATGCTAATGGATTGTTACCTTTAAAGTGTTTTGCAGAACATGCCCTGGAAGCAATAATTTAAGAGGTAACAGAGGCACTTGACAACTCTTAATGAAAGCAGTAGCTTGAAAATTACACATTTCCAGGCCTTTAGGTGCAGTGTGTAAGACTTTCATAAACCAAGGAGAGGTTCACTGCAGTGTTCTTTTTACATTCATGTTCTTGCAAATGGAAATGAGCTCCATTGCTTGTCTTGCAGAAACATTAGCCAGAGGCAAGTGTTGAAAAAACAGCAAGTTCAAGCAGTTGGTGAATGTAGAAGCATCAAGACTTGTAAGAAGCAACTGGGAACTTGAGCTCTATGGCCTGTTTTGCAAGAATGTGTAAATATTAAAGAATTACAAAAAGATGTAATGGAACGAGAAGCCAGAAGGGTCTCCTCCTGGATTTGGTTTCCTCACAAATGCAAAACCTGAATTTTATTTGAGATTTGGAAACCTTTTGATGAACCCTGATCTTTGAGCACAGCTGGTGTGATTTATGACTTTGTGATTTCAATCTGTAACAGGCAGAATTTTGCTGGGTTGTGCTGTAGTTTTGCATTTTAGAGGTTTCAAATGTGAGTCATTAGCTTTCTCAGCCCTTCACTTAAATCTTTTAGCAGATACAATTTTTCTCCCAGCTGTTCATTCAGACATTTCAGGTAAATTAAAAAAAAAAAAAAAGTTAAGACAGAACAAAGCAACATCACAACCTGTTAAACAGGGTTTAAATAAATAAAAGTTGGTTCTATTTTCAGTTCAGTTTTACTTGGCTATTTTATCTAATGTTGTAGTTTTCAAATTGCATGTGGTATTCTTCAGAGAAGACAAAAGCTGACAAGATTGAATTTCTCAAACTAAGTAAGTGTAACCAGGCTGTGCTTTGAAGAGATCGTAACAGCTTGTTTTTATCAGGGATCTGCTGGTTTCAAATAGTGTGCCTGTGAAAAGATAACATAATCTGCATTTTGCTCCTTATTTCAGTCAAGCCAAAGCACAGAAAACATTGGAAGTACTGCTTGCATCTCAGCTGGAAGGTTTATTGGTTATAACAGGAATTACCATGGGACTGTTACAACTGGAGTTAGTGACTGCTTCTGTGATCATTTGGTAGCACAAAGACCAAAACACATCAATCCTGTCAGTCATTCTTACCTCCCTCTCAATTAATTTGCAGTTATTTTCAACTGTTCATAGAGAAGCTGAATGAAACATCTTGTTAATTCATGGCTGATGTGGATACAGGTGGGCAGGTGTTACTTTGGCACTGATAACTTAAGGACAGATGAAATGAGGTAGCCAATGAAGGTGTATCTTCTCTGACTGTTAGCATACTAGTAAACAAAGTGTCCTTAGGACCATGCTTTGTCCTCCTGGACAGCTGTCATGCTAATGTCATGCTAATTAACTCTCCCAGCCTGTACAGTGGAGAGGGTGGTATGGAACTGCAACCTGGAAACTGACCGTGGAGGGTTTTCATTTGAAAGAATATCTGGGCATTGCTTGGAAGAGTGCTAGTGGGGCCAGATCAAAACCTTTCCAGGGACCTTTCTAACAGTTTAACAACATACACAGTACCAGTGCCTGGGAACATCCCCTGGAAGCATTTAATTTATGAGTATTAATATAGCCTCAGTGTCTTTGAGGATGGTGCCAATAACTTGTTCTCCATTAAGTGAAGTAAAAATTTACTATAGGAAATTCAACATATATTCGATATATAAGCATGAGATACTACATAATATGAAATACTGCATATACTTCTGTTTCATTGTCAGCTTGTGTGTGTGCTGAGCACTAATGTCCATTGATTGTCAAATCTATCCTGACAGTTTGTCAGGAACCTACTCTGCAATATGAATCTGATGGCCCAATGCAGACAAGACAGAAGATCTGTTCTGATTTGATGCCAAGAGACCTGGAATGGGAAAAAAAAAATAATTCCAGGACATAAGTATACATCATTCTTGAATTGGAAACTGCTAGTTGCAACACCAAACATATCTTACTGGAAGCAAAAGTAAATTCACAGTGTTTCTCAGTTGGTACCACACAACAGTAAAACTTGCTTTTAATACAACATTTTCATGGTGAATTGGTTTGATCTTTAAAATGCAGCTACAATTCATGGTTGATGCCAAGCATAATGCTTGCGTAGTGATGGCTTCTCCCATTGATTCAACAAATGAAAGTGTTGTGTTCTTGAGAAATGTCTGATTTCCATGAGCAGAGCTGCAGAAAATATCAGAACCTGTTTTCCCACTTTGTATTTAAAGCAGAAATACTTTTGAAGAAAGATAATGTGGGGGCAACCTCAGTAATATGATTAAAACATACCTCATTTTAAGTTTTGATTTCAAATGGAGAAAATACTTTTGTGCTTTACTAAAGTAAGGCCTTAATGTCTACAAAAATTAATAATACAATATAATTTATCTCGCATTCATTCTAGGGCACAGTTCTAAAAAGTGGGTCACTCTCAGATATTAGTATTGAAGCTCAGTGCCTAAAAAATCACCATGTTTTTCTTTTTTCTTTTCTTTTTTTTCAGCTGTGGGACCTACTGCAGAAGTTGCAATTCATCATGACATACATTGCTCCCTGGCAGATTGCCTGGGGATCATCATTCCACGTGTTTGCTCAGCTCTTTGCAATACCTCATATCCTTTATAATTTTGTTTTTCTTTATTCTTAAATTCCTCTTTATGTATGTAATTTATTTACAGTGTTTGAGCAAGGTGCAAAATTCCTAGGTAACTTATTTTAAAATGGGAAAATGCTTGGAGCATTTCCTGAGAAATTGTGTTTTCTCTCTGTTTTGGCTACATGGGATCTGAAACTAGGAAACTGACTCAAACTGGTCTATATGCCTGCCCACTTCCCACCAAAACACATTCTGAAAGTCACTTATTTCCACAGTCCTCAACACTGGCTCTTAATGCATCCAGAAAGAAACAGCATCACTGACATATTAGCTCCAACTTGGATGGACTTTTATGAATGTAGAAGCTAGTTTTGGAAAGTGCTGGGCATTTTGCTGGCTGAGCTCTAAAATATTAGTTTCTGAGTTACTTCTAGTTAGTACCATTACACTGAGCCAATTTCTGATGCATGTGGTTTGTTGTTCTGGATTTTTTTTCCCATTTTGGAAGCAGCTGGATTTTAATATTTTAATGTGTATTTTTCATTGTGGAGCTGAGAAGCATATTCTCCTTCTTAATGTTTGCACTTTGTTTTGTGGGTAACAATCTATATTCATCAACACTAAAGCAGTCCTTTGGAAAGCTAAACAAGAGTTCAATGACTCCTAAGTGTCTGTAAGGTTGCAAAATATATATTGGATGGTTGGAACAAAAATTTTTCAGCTTAAAGTCTAATTCAGTTAGAAACTTGATTTAATACAGGAAAAAGGTAAGAAATTAAATAAAACACTTTAATTGCTCAAATTTAATTTGTTGACCTCTAAAGCATTTTCAGAGACTGTATTTTTATCTCTTTCTTCCCTTCCAACCCAAAGTTGTGAAAAAAGAGTTGGCAAAGTGGTTTGAGTTCAGACCTACTGAAGAGTTTACTTTGTACTGTTTATTAGGTACAGGTACTTAAGTCTTTGTCCCTTTCATGTCGTGGTGATGTCACCCTTGAGTGATTTCTTCCCTCTGCCCTGATACACTGAATCATATGCATCATTGATTAACTATGTTTATGTTTCTAGATAGGAAGAATAAGTGGGAGTCTTGGGCAGAGGGAATTGCAGACAAAGTAACTCCCTGAGGGAAAGCTTTAGATTGTCTGTTTATGAAAGCATTATAAAAATAGTGATCTGTCTGAGCACGCTGGTGGGTATTTTTTAGAAAATCTTGACAGAATTCCACAACAGCAAAAAATAATTTCATCTCTGTTGCAGGTATGAATTGGAGTACAAGTGTATGTGAGATTTTATAAAAAAACATTTAAGAACTAAGATGATATTCCAACCAGTTTCCCTTTGGTCACCAATATTTTGTTCAGCAATTAACTTTACTCATGATAAAAATACCAATTAAGCTTTGAAAAATGGAAAGTAGTTAACTGAGCAGGGTTTACTGTATTTACACAGGTATTGCTGAAGTGATCTAGACTAACTTTATAGTATTTATATTTATAGTATGCTTTGTAAATGCAAATCTGTCTTTTAAGGCAATGTTGCAATTCAGATACTGGTCAAATGCCCAAGTTACTATTCTCACAACAACAATAACTCTGCCTTTTTGCATGGTATTTTTAATTGTTTTTACAATAACACTGGAAACAGTTGTGATGAATGCATGTTGCATTTGCAGAGGCACTAAGCCTGCCAGGTTTTTTTCAGAGTTAATTATTTGTGACTCTTAATTGCCTAAATCACATCTGCAAATGGGACATAAATTTTTACACTTCTGAGTGCCCCTGTGAGGTTTTGCCATAGAACTCAGTGCTATGAATAGTTCTGAATGCTTTAATGCATTTGATCCTGGTGCACAGGGTGCAGAGGGCAACACGTGGAGGTTGTGCAGTCTTCACCATTAGAGAACTTCAGGAACTTGGATGAATGTCTCTCAGGAGTCATATATATTTAGTTAATCCTTCCCTTTGACTGCTAGATGGACTATGTGATCCCTCAAAGTCCCTCCTAATCCTGAAAGACCAAGAACAAGAATGGGCTTCTGGCTTGAGGAGGGACCTGTCGCTTCAATTCCCAGTGTTTTCCATGGATAAAACAATGTTCTGTGTTCATAATTACCAGCACACTGAGAAAGTCAGTGCAGTTTGTAGTCAAAGGAGAGTTTTACCTAATAAATCAACAGTGAGGACTGGAAAGAAAGGTTTTCTGGTTCAGAATATCCTGTATATGAGAGTTTCTGCTTTGGCTGTTTCAGGGTTACAACTCTAACATCAGAAAAAGAAGCCCTGTGACACTCAGTTCTCCAGTCCTCTAAGTGGTTGTGTGCCTGGAAGGGGAGAAATGTTTTTGGCCCATAGTAATTGCAATTGAAAAATACAGGTTTTGAGAAACAGGATATACACTGGCCTTGCTTCATAGTTTTATGTTATAAGAAGGGATGGAAGATTTTGAAGATGTCAGTCTTTCAGTTTCTTGTTTTGAAGCTGATTTGACTTTAAACAGGTTTTTTTAATTACCACTGATAATCCTCAAAATAACGTGTTTTGTTTCATGTTAAAGTTTTTTTAGGGATTCTTCCCAAAATGTTATTTTAAAGGAAAACCCAAAGAAACAATTTCTACTTTTACACCTTGTAAACTAACAAAGATGGTACGCAGGAAAAATGGCTTGCGACACAGAATAAGAAAACATTACTAAGTTTTTGCCACTTCTTTTATAGAATAGAATAATAGATTCATAGAAATCGTTCTGGTTGGAAAAGACCTTTAAGATCATCAAGTCCATCCGTTAACCCAGCACTGCCATATTTTTTTACTTGGACATATTTAAAGCATCGGTATAAAAAAAATTACCTAATACAAGGAAATTGAGAACCATCAAATAAAAAAGCCCTGATGACAGATAATTGCCTACTGTTGACATTAACTGTATATAAGGTTGTTGGTTGCTGTTACTTGCTCTCATGACACGTTGACATATATGAAAGACTTTATTAAAATCACTCTTCACCAGTCAAATGGGAAATGTCTTCCAATATACATATTAGAAGAGCGTAGTAGAGCATTATTTCAGCATACTATGTTGCTGCTGAGTATGTCTTAGACCCAAACATTTCACAGTGGAATCCTAAATGTCTGAACTCACGATAGGAGGCAATTTTTAAATCAATCATGACATTAGAACTGTCTTTGGAAAATTTGATTTGCTGTTGTTTCCTGTCCTCCTTGTTCTCTTTTTGTCTTTTCAGCTCCCATGCTTCCTTCCCTTATCTGACACTTGTAAATACTTGTTCATCTCTCACAACCAGTGCTGATTGTGACAGTGTAATGTGACAGTTTAACTTTTTAGATGCTCTTGCTTCCTGCTCAGTCTTCTCTTTTGTTTTTTGAACTTATGACACGAAGGGCAGCTCACTGTGCAAGCTCACTAATGCACAAAGACACTATTCCAGATGACTCTTTCAATAAGTTTGAAGGATTTGAGAGAGATCTTTTGGCAAATATTTGTTTGTAGATCTTGCAAATTGCTTTGAATGCATGCCTAGCTAGCCTTTTTATGGAAATATTGTAGCCCAAATTATGCTACAAATGCTGTGTTAAAATGTTTTTTGTCAAGTCTCAGACTGTGAGACACACAAAAGATATTATTATTATAAGAGGTTAAGGGAAAAGACTGTGGTTGTTGGGTGATTTGACCTTAATTTTAGTTTGAGATGCATTTGATCACTGTACTTTGATACTGGCTGCTTAGTTCATGGCTTCTTTGCTTAGAACCTTCCTCCCAAGAGAGGTGTAAGGAAGGTGGTCTCTTATGCCAGCCTGGAAACTTTTTCCCCCCTAGATTTCATGGATACGGTATGAATTAATGAAGAGTTAAAGCCAAATGTTTCATTTGCTTGGGTTTTTAAATCATGTTCCTTTCAGCTGGCATATTTTCCAATATTCTTATCCATCTCCTAGCTTGCTTTCTAGCAGTCTATATAAATAGACTATAAATATGGAATATAAATTTACATTTCAAGTAAGCTATCGATCCCATCATTCATTCTGGTGTTTGTGTGATATTTACTGTTCCACTATCTTTACCTTCTCATTTTGTATGTATGTCAAAAAGTCTGAAATGCTGTACATTTTTTACCTTTCAGTCAGCATGGAATATTAAATTGTCAGTAAGAATTAACGTAAAAGCATGATTTTAAGCCAGCAGGTTGTATTATAGAGGCATAGTTGTTTTCCCATATATTATGTTGTTCTAAAATAAACAGAAGCTCACAAAAGGAAATAGCAAACAACTCACTAGGAGCAAAACTCTATGGCAGAAAATGCAGTATTTTTTTTTTTTAAAAAGGCTTTTTGGATGATTTTATGTTTTAAACTCCATGTCAGATTCTGGAAAGGCACTTTCTGTTAGAGAAGGTACACTAGGTAGCTGGAAAAGGGCACCTACTGCTCTGCCTGCACTCAGGATCTGTCCTAGGGCAGAGATTAGGGTCACCCTGCTAATATTGTACTCTGTTCAGACATGTCACTTCCATTACAACTGTGTAGCATTGAAGAGCCACTGATTATATGATGGTAATTGGCAATTTGGCACTGCCTGCCTTCCTTTCCTTTCCTTACCACCTCTTTGGTGAAATAAACAACAACAAAAAGGGAAAAATAAGTAGTTCAAACAGCTGCCTCAAGAATGGTTTAAAAGTATGATGAAATTGTGTGTGTTACCTTAACTTGCAGTTTTCAGACTCTGCTATGCTTTTTTTTCAAACTCTGGCCACTTCAGTCTTTTCTACCCCACTGAGTCCATTTCTTGGTAGTGTCATCTTTATTGCATCATACGCAAGACCAATCAAGTTCTGGGAGAAAAACTACAAGTAAGACTATTGAAGTTTTCTACACTTATTATTTGTAAAGGATGTGCTCTAATTAGCTGAATTTCTGGAGGTATTTTTCTTTCCAAATATAATCCTGAAATGAAATTTTAGTCTTTTAGTCTTGAGTCTGGTGTTTTACTATTTAATGGTGTTTTGTTTTTATTTTATTTCTGAAAATTTATTTAAACAACTACTGGTATGTTACAGATTAGGTGTCATGTTGCATTTGTCGTACAGACATAGAGTAACAAAGCTGTGAAAAAAAATAAATCAGTAAAACTCCCAGTTGTCAGCCTTTTTTAGGTTTGCTAGCTAGTGTTAGCAACTAAATTTCTAAAGCCTTTGGCACTATCAGTCATCCTGTGTTCATGTTTTTTAAACTACTCTGATTAAATGTTACTGTTTGGGGATGTGGCAGGTAACTCTAATAGTGAAGTGTTGATGAGTGTGGCTTGTCATCATTTGCTGCATCTGATCTTGGAGTTTGGTTTATGAATGAGTTGGTTTTGTCAGATTTTAGCTGCCATTCATTCAGTTTGACAAGGAAATAAACATAGGATATTGAAAAGACTTAATAAAGAGCTTCTGCTCCTTCTACCCATTAGGATTTGAAAGATCTTGGTAACTGGGATCTAATGGGCTCCCAACAAGAGTGCTGGAGACAGGGAAACACTTCCCTTCACAGATGGAGGTAGTTTTAGCAAAAGATGAACGAGCAGTCTTGCAACCTTAGGGGCTGGATTTAGTGACTACAGGGGACCCGTTGAGGCCTGTACTCTGGGCAGTGTGTGAGCTCTTCAACATCTGGAGTACTGTGTCCAGGTCTGAACCCCCCAGTTCAAGAAGGACAAAGAGTCACTGGAGAGAGTACAGCAGAGGGCTACCAAGATGATTAGGGAACTGGAGCATCTCTCTTGTGAGGAAAGGCTGAGACACCTGGGTCTGTTTAGCCTGGAGAAGACTGAAAGGGGATCTTATCAATGGTTGTAAATATCTAAAGGTTGGGTATCAAGAAGATGGGGCCAGGCTCTCTACAGCAACAGGACACAGGGCAGTGGGCATAAACTGGAACACAGGAAGTTCCATCTGAACATAAGGAAAAACTTGTTTACTTTGACAGAGCACTGGAACAGGCTGCTTAAGGGTGTTGTGTAGTCTCCTTTTCTGGAGATATTCAAAACCCTCCTGGACATGATCCTGTGCAACCTGCTCTACATAAATCTGCTTTAGCATGGGGGTTGGACTGAATGATCTCCAGAGATTCCTTCAAACCCCTGCCATTCTGTGATTGTGTCAGTAAGTGAATAGGTACTCCTCTATAAAGAAATAATTCAGACAAAGCCAAGTCATATAAAGAGGCTTTGCATTTACTTCTGAATATTATGAGATTTGTAGGAACCTTTTGAGGGGAGCAGAGTTTTGTATGCTGGGGCCAGATCTTAACAAAATTCTCTCTTACACTTTTTTTTTTGGGGGGGGAGGTGGGGTGGGAGCAGGGGATCAGCAGGTTCATTATTCCATAGAAGTGGAATTTAGGAGACGCGTGTAAAGGCATGAAACTACCACTAATGCCACAGACAGCTTTACATTTTTGTATGACAACTTTGAACAATATTAAGTAGGAAGTATAGATTTTAGCATCTGCTATATTTTACTTAAACTAGAGCATTTTGAAGGCATGTGACTTCTTTTCTAGATACCAGTTAGAGAATCAAACTTGGTTGTAGGCACGTCACTTCCATATAGCTAGGCTGCTGTGGTATCTCTAGATTATTGTGGATGAAAATAGAGAGGACTATTCTAATTTCCTCTTGGTTTGTGTAGGGCTTTTGGGATCAGACAAACAGAAGATATTCAAAGTACATTTCAAAAGATGGTGCTTGATACTTAAATAAGAGAGGTGTCTTGTTCTCATCAGTAATAACCATCTGACTCTCACGAAGGAAGTGAGGAAGTTGGTGCTAATAATTTTTGAAAGCAAAGCTCATTATTTTACCCATAAACTGTAAAACCTCAAGTGCAAAAAACCCTAACCCTTTTAATACTTTAAGCCACCACTCTTTGTCCTGTCCAAATAAGCAGTAACTACGACTTTACCTCCAACACGAATGCTTAAGTTAGACTCTTTGTGAAAAAAATCATGCTTTGTTGTTTGTTAGAAATTCTAATATATCTTTGATGATCTTCTCACTTAAAACATAAAAACCAAAACCTTGCCCCTCAAAAACCTTTCAGAAGTAGAAAACAGCCTTGTAGAAGATTCAGGTTGTCATCAAAGTGAAATAAATGTTTGCCTGAATCTGTGGCATCCCATAATATGCACATGTAATGTTTCCCCCTACATTTATATTAATTTTATCTCTAGCAATTTTGATTCTCCATTGCCTCACTTCCATTTCAGTATTTCATTTGTCACATAGAGAACTGAACAGAGCAAGTGAGCATTAGACTGAAAAACTCCTGGGTCGTTAAAGGGACACAGTGACAAGACAGAAATAGGCAAGGGAAAAGAGCAAATTTGTATTAACAACAGGGAAATTTTCTACAAAATAGTTGAAAGAATTGAATGAAGCAAGATGGGCCTTACCTTGCTGCTTTGAATCTGGACCCTGCAACATCTAAAAATTCAAATGGATAACATAAATGCTTTCTTTCAGAGCTGTTGAGTTAAATAGGATCAGGAACTTGAGCTGGATTGGAAAGCTGTTCTGGCTCCTGCACTGAATTGTCTTTGGCCCACAGTGTGCCCTGCAGCCAGAAGTGCACTGACTTTTCAGGCCCTGTAAGACAAAACAGAACAAACAAACAAGCAAGTTGGTGTCTAGATTTTCTTTTTGGAGTGCATTGACAATTAGTTTTGCCAGCCTCAGCTTGGGGTATTCATGGAAATCACAGGTTCACTACAGTACAGCCTGAGATCCACTCATACAAAGCAGAAGCTCTGGTAGATATTTTGTCACTGTTTCTGTGCTCATTGCCTGTTGATAGGAACTTCTGCCCAGGCGAAAGCTACCTTTAATGTGCTTTATATAGCTCTTTTGTTTAGCCTGCTTTGCATACTCATTTTCAAACACTTCCTTGTTGCATTGATGACTACATTAAATGATGACATTTATATTAGCTACCGAAAAACTCATTTACATTCATGTGAAGTTAGAGGTAGTCAATTCCATAGTTATATTTTTTATTGTTTAGCCTCTTAATTGGACTAACTGAAAACAATTTTGGCAAGCAGTCTAGATATCAAAATATCATGGTTATTTTTTTCTTCCAAGTCATAAATTGGATTGCTTTCTCAGAATGTCATTTATGTTCGTCAGTATATGCAGACTTCACTGATATCAAGCAAACTTCATTTTTACTTAAGGAAGACTTATTTTTGCATCTCATTTGGGCCAACAGTGTGAAATTAGTCAAGAAACGGCCATCTGGTTAATTTTCTGTAAAGTGAATCCGAAGTTGAAGCTTTGGACCCTAGAAAGCAGAGTGTACCATGTTTATTAACAGAGCTGGGCTATTAGGCCAGTAGCCCAAGTGATGAGCAACTGACCCATCTGTTCCTTAAAGTGTTGGTTTGATTGTCTCTACCTGGTGTTTTTTGAGTGCACACATGTATATCTTGCATTTCAAGTGTTTCTTTTAATCCCATTTTCTCTACTAGCTAAAGACTAGTTTGTTTCCTTGGGTTTCTGACCAGACATCTGCCACTTTAGATGATGTGAGCTAAAGCTGAGAGTCAGAGAAATAAGATGATGGTTTGTTGTTTGCTTTTTTTTCAAGGAGATGGAGAAACTCAAGCGGGTAAAAATAAATAAATAAATGAAATCATTTTGACAGTAAACAAACTGTGAAATTCCTAGCAAGCTCTTAAAAATTCAGGAATCACACTGTGCCTGTTTGTGCTCTCGCGGTGTGTGTACAGAGCAGGGGTGTTCTTCCTTGCAATCAGCAGATGCTGTTTGTTTATAGTGTGCACTTTGGTACTTGCTGTGTGCAGAGCCTAGTACACCAATACATTACTGAGGTCAGGGATCTTTCAGGGAGAAAGGGAAGGGGAATTTTAAGAAGACAAAATAAGGCAATAAATAAGGTGATTAAGGAGGAACAGCTTTTCATGTAACCAGGTTTTGCTGCTGTTGTTGAAAAGAGGTGTATAATATCAGAAAACTGGTCTGCTGCTCATGAGATGGTTGTTTCATGGGAGTCCAAGAGAGTTTTCTCTTTTTTTCAAAACAAAAAAAAGTTTGGTGCACCATTGGCTTTGTCTTGCCATTAGCCTGAGTCCTGCTTCCCAGTTTGAAGAGTCCCATTTTAGTCTTTATTTTCACAGCTGTTGGAATGATATGGCTGTAGATGTCAGAGAGAGAAAAGGAAATAGCAGTAAATCTTGTTTAATGCATAGGCACTTTAAAGCATAAAGTGTTTGTTCAAACACTGCTGTTCCATTCCTCTGCCTCTTTTTAGAGAGAAAAGGAAATAGCAGTAAATCTTGTTTAATGCATAGGCACTTTAAAGCATAAAGTGCTTGTTCAAACACTGCTGTTCCATTCCTCTGCCTCTTTTTTTTTTTTTTTTTTTTTTTTTTTTTTTTTTTTGTAAACACTTTGTCATGCTGCAGTCTGACTCTCTCCCCCTCCTCCCTTCCTCTTATCTTGCTTTCTATCTTGGGTATGGCAGTGGACTGAACAGAGAAGGAAGTTTACTTTCATTCCCCAGTGGCTCTAACCGCTGAATCACATTGAGCAGCCTGTTCTCTGCTGCAGCTGTGACTTGTCCCTGCAAACAGCCAACTGCCACTAGGCATCTGGAGATTTCACAGCCTAAACGCTACTCATCTCTCCCCTGCTCCTTGTTTCTATTCTTTCTTGGTCATCTGGTTCAGTGTCTATTTTTGGGTAAGGCACAGCTTGCCTTTGAAGGTCCTCGCGTGAAGTACTGTGGTGTAACTGAATTAGTTAAGTGTCTCTAAAGAGGCTTTGATTAAATAGCCAGTTATCTCA